TTAACTATCAAATCTGATGTGTACGAAGTGTTTGTGAATTCGTAGGAGAGTTTTCGGGAAGGTCCGTTTTACGCGCAAATTACTCCGAATGTACTCCTATATTTACGAATGTTTCATGAATGAGGCCCATTGTCTTTGAAGTTTAAGTATATTAATGCATTTTCTTCGCTATTGACCTGGAGATCCAGCAGAGCTCAGCAGTCGTATTCCATTTTTATGGTTTAGGAGTCAAATTAGGTTACTGAAACACTACTTTCACTCACAGCTATAAAAGGTCCCCATAGTCTATTACAGTGTTTCCCAACCTTTTTTTAGTCGCGGCACCCTTTGGAAATTAACAAACTTGTGGCACCCTACAAAATTAATTTTGTCACAATATCTGAATTTCTAACTTCGATATGATAATTTGAAAATTATAGATATTCGGTCAAAATTACCCCGGTTTCACGGTACATGACGGTAATTTTTTTTTTTCATGCATAACCGGGTGTTAACCATATTTTCTACTGATTGAGAGAGGAAATACTGCAGTATATTGGCTTAGAATGCCATATTTTACTGTCATGATGAGTTAGGGCTGGACGATATGGCCAGAATTTATATCACGATATATTTCTTAATTTCGGTCGATACGATATAATTCCGATATCGATATGATAATTTTCGGCAGCCGAAATTTCGGTGCATCTCTAATTATTGGCGACATCAGAAATGGATATTATATAATAGATTATTTTTTGAACGTTTTAGCAATTTAAAAATATTAAAAAAGGATTTTTTACACGGCACCCCTGCTCTCGACAGACGGCACCCCAGGGTGCCGCAGCACCCCGGTTGGGAAACACTGGTATATTACATCAAATTGCCATTTTAAATGTTATGTGCCTGACCTCTTATGTTCTTACGGACAAGGACTTTGAGAGAAGCAGTTTGGACAGGTTGTGGAATGGACATTTTGTCTAACAGAATTTTAATTTCCGTTGTTCACATCACATTCCATGTTCCATCTGTCTCTAGAATGGTATAGAGTTCTGCCTTTTGAGGCTGTGTTTCCCAACCCTCTTCCTGGAGGCACACCAACAGAACAAATTTTGGATGACTCCTTTATCTGACCTCTACTAACCAACTCAGGTGTGTTTGATTAGGAGGAGTTCCAAAAATTGAAGGCACTGTTGGTGTGCCTCCAAGAAAAAGGTTGGGAAACACTATAAGTTCTATTCAATTGATTTTTGACCTTATATGTGACAGTTCTATAAGTAGAATATAGTAGAATACATAATTTGTGCAATTTGTGCAAGTTCTGTTAAATCAGGGGTAGGCAAGTTCGGTCCTAGAGAGCCGCAGTCGTTGGAGCTGAACTCTGCAGGATTGCGGCTCTCTAGGACCGAACTTGCCTACCCCTGTGTTAAATGAATGGAACAGAATAGAATATATATTGCTGTCTTCATCAGATGATGATTCTGGGAATTGATAACAAAAGAGGTTATGTTGAATCAATAAATGTGACCCTGGACCACAAACCAGTCATGTTTGACTGGTGTATACATCATCTGAAAGCTGAATAAATAAGCTTTCCATTGATGTATGGTTTGTTAGGATAAGACAATATTTGGCCGAGATACAACTATTTGAAAATCTGGAATCTGAGGGTGCAAAAAAATCTAAATATTGAGAAAATTGCCTTTAAATTGTCCAAATGAAGTTCTTAGCAATGCATATTACTAATCAAAAATGAAGTTTTAATATATTTACAGTAGGAAATTTACAAAATATCTTCATGGAACATGAGCTTTACTTAATATCCTAATGATTTTTTGGCATAAAATAAAAAGCAATCATTTTGACCCATACGATGCATTTTTGGCTATTGCTACAAATATACCCCAGCGACTTAAGACTGGTTTTGTGGTCCAGGGTCACAAATGGAACAGAAAATAGTAGATCTTTTTGTCTTGATCATAAGCTGTTCCATTAATAGAACCGATGATGTCTCTGTATGACGTCTGATGATTCTGTTAAATGAATAAAACAGAAGGGTCTTTCTTCATTGGAAGCTGTTTTTTGAATAAAACAGAATATATGGTTTTAATGATGCTACAGTCCAAAAGTTTCTTGTTATTGTTATTTTAAATTGTAGCAATATGTTTACTATTTTGATCAAATAAATGCAGCCTCGATGAGCATAAGAGACTTCTTTCAAAAACACAAAAAACTCTTACCGACCACAATATATTGAATGACAATGGATAGAATAGAATTGATTCTTCAGTCCTCATTATATGCTGTTCATAGAATAGAACAGAACAGATCATTTCTGTCACGATGGGTTCAGTTGACTGTATAGAACTGATTCTTCGGTCTTCATCAGAAGCCGTTTCATGTATAGAATAGAATAGAATATGATGGCTGGCATTGTGACCCTGGGAAAGGTGCAGTATTGTCAGTGGGGTTTTTGGCTCGGTTTAACAGGCATGTGAAACATTATGACACAATGTGGGTGTGTGAGTGTGAATAGGAGAGAGAGAGCAGAAAGAGCTCCCTCTTTAATTTGTCTACAAAGGCAGACTTTCAAACTTTTATTTCCCTGGCTGAAGGGCTTCTGGTGACCTGAATTATCGGAGTAATTACAGATTTGCACAACGCCGTGTCTTAGAGGGAGAGAGAGAAGCCGTTCTTCCTGCTGTCGTTCCTGAAACACAGCCTCGAGGGAGGGGATTGATGTGCGTGTGATTGCTGTGATAGAAGCGGCCGCATCAGCAAGGTCAAATAAACTCCTTGTAATTCATCCAAAGTTTTTTTAGTTGGAGATCTCACACACTCAGCCTCTCTTCTAACGTGAGCTCATCTTCTCTGTAGATATTTCTTATTCATCTCTCTCCGGGTGAGGTGGGTGGTGAGTGACTTCATAATGCATGATGTGTGCGGCTGGCGCCGGCTCAGCTCCAGGCTGAGGATAGATGGAAAGTGTGAGAGAATGATTGAGCAGCTCTGTGATTGCAGCAAATGAACCTTGAGGAGAAGGGCAGCCAGTTTGACTCAAACATTTTAAACCTTTAATTATTTATCAGCATACAAATTTCCTTTTAAATGTAAATGGTGAATACATCCACTTGTGTCTGTGAGTGAAATTTGAACTTATTTTAGCGTCACATTCAGAGCACATTTTCTCTTTCCCCACTAATTACCTATCCTCTCTCTACTATATAATAATAAAAGTTAAACTCAACAGCAGAGATGTCATATCTGAAGAATTCATGAAGGTGCATCAAAGTTGATCACGGGTTGAGACACTTTTTTACTGTGGATTCAGTTTGCTTAGTGGCTGCTGCATCAATTTGTTTGCTTGGACATATAGTTCTGTGTTAATAATGGATTAAGTTTAATAATCCTGCAGTGTTTGTTATTCCATATTTCCATAATTTACCCAATTATTTAATTGTGTTCTCTTGGAGGTTCATGCCAGTAATTGTTTAATAACTGCCCTACAATAACCTACAGTAAATGTCTCTCAGTGGGTGCAGTTTTCTCCTTTTATTTACAGCCCCTTCCAGATCCTAGAGCGTTCAGCAGTTCTTTACAGGGATGGCGTTGGCTTTGTTCCATGCTACTGCAGGAGAAATGCAGAGTCATGATAATTTAGTCTAGTGCCGTGTGTGGAGAGAGTCTCGGCTCTCTCAAGGTTAAACGGACACGCTAGCAGAGTGTGCCACATAAGATTTGAATGGACTGAGCTTTGAGAAATATACATACCTGTCTATCTGGCATCAGTCTTATCCTGACTTTAGTAGTTAAGCAGAGGAGATAAAGACTGCATGCTAATTCATATACTGTCTGTACTATATAGTATGCTAGAGTAGAATTAGTGCATCCCAAATATAGTATGATGAAAATAGTGTGACAAAAGTGCCACAGTGCGCATTTTCAAAGCAGAATTACATTTATCAGAATTATAATTAAATTAATTAAATTTCACTAAGCCGTCAGATTGGATAAAGCATAGACTTTTTTGACAAGATTACGTATCATTAACATTTTAAGATAAAATCTTAAAAGCAGTAAAATCTGATAATAATAATCATAAATTGCTACTTTAAGCTTAAATCATGCTAAAAAACTATAATTTCTTAGACCAAAATGCACTACCATTTCAAAAGCTGCTTTTGAAGAAGTCTCTTATACTTACCCAGGCTGCATTTCTTTAATTAAAAATACAGTGAAAATGGTGATATTGTAATATATTACAATTTAAAATAACTATTTTCTATTTGGATAGATTTTAAAATGGAATTTATTCCTGTGATGGCAAAGCTGAAATTTCACCAGTTTTGTCACATGATCCTTTAGAAATCATTCTAATATGCTGATTTGCTGCTCAAGAAGCATTTCTTATTATTATTATCAATGTTGACAACAGTTGGGCTGCTTAATATGTTTGTGCAAACTGGGATACCGTTTTATCAGGATTGATTCAGAATGCTTGGTATCATTTGTATTTTATAAATGTATTTACAGTCACCTTTGATCAATTTAATTACTCCTTATTGAAGAAAAGTATTCATTTTCGAATTAACAAAACTTAATGGCCCCCCCCCCCAAAAAAAAGGGAAATGATATCATGGAGAGGAGCCCTGGAGACACATGACTGTGTGTCAAGGTCAATATGTCTCTTAAAATATTAGATAATTTATAGATAGAGAGACCGGTTTATGACAAAGCAAGGTTAGTTCAGGTTGTAAAATGTCATGTGGTATGATTTTTAACCCCAAAACATTTGATGATATTTGTGAATAATTTATATTTCTAAAAAAAGAAATATCTGAAGGCACTCTTTACCTTGAGAAATATATTAAAGAACTTTAATTGAAAACATGTGAAATGTTATTACTAGCTAAATGCTACGTATTTGTTAACTGATTTTATTCCTTCTTCCCTCTTCCACTCTTCCCTCATATCTCTTACCTCAACCATCTGCACATCCTCTCCTCTTTCCCTCTGTGTAGGTTGTTTTCAGCTATGTAACGTGTTCAGGCAGAACATGGAGATAGACCAGTGTCTGCTGGAGTCTCTGCCGTTGGGCCAGCGTCAGAGGCTGGTCAGACGCATGCGTTGCGAGCAGCTGAGGGTCTACTACGAGCGCGAGCGGACGCTACAGAAGCAGAGCTTCCCCAAGCCCCGGTCCACCAACCGCAAAAAAAAAGGAATCAGCTTCACGCTTTCAGATGTCATCCAGGACGCCATCATACGACACGATGACAAAGAGGGTAAGAAACCTATGTCTGTTTATGTTCCGTTATCTTGGTTACTTGTTGCAAACTACACTGCAAAAAAAATGATTTTTTTAAAAATTTGTAAATAAAACAGAGTTTCTGCGGGTTTTAAAAAGGTCTTAAAGTCTTCATTCAGACTTTCACAAATTGAGGCCTTAAAAAGGTAGAGGAGTCATGCATTAAATGTTGCATGCATTGCAACAAAAAAAACTTGTTTTCCCATTTTTATGGTTTCCCTAAACTTGTTTTCCCTATTGGCAGATATTTCTTGTTTTAATGATAACCTTACTTTTTTTTTTTTTTCCAAATTGTTTGTGTCCCCTTTTATTTAGTCATTAGATTTGCTTTCTTTACTTGATCTTAAAGTTTTAAATTTACCTTCACAAAACCTGCAGAAACCTGTTTATTTCTATGGCACTTACATATTGTGTAAAAGCATCTTCACAGAGATAAACAGGGAAGTAGAATCAATTATGGAAACTAAACTATAGAGACAGTAAACACTATAGAGCTGTAAAACGGCTCTAAAAGACAACAGTGTCATTATTTAGCTCAAGTCAGTTCAGTGTTGGGACTGGGACTTACTAATGTACACACAATACACTTTATTTTTACTGCAGATTCTTCCCAAACTTTTGAACAGATATGTACTTGAAGAAAATGTACTTTCCCCTCCTTACCTCATTAAAGTTTTTGGCCCTTCATAGTAAAAAGTTTAGGCACCTATAATCTAAATAGTGACACTAAAAGAAAAGAGTTAAAAAGGAATGGGTTGTCTGTTTGAGTGTGTGAGTGTGTTGCAGAGAGATTGAGAGGAGTGGCTTAGCTGCCGAGTATTAGATCATTCCTCAAGCTGATTATGGGCCAGTCAAAAAGCTAATATTCAGAGTGTGCCGCGCCACTCTTGCCACTCTAATCAAGAGCTTGCGGGGGAAAGGAGCTTGTGTGAGACAGGGTGACAATCACTGAGCGGCCACCTTCTGCATCATGAGCAATGACAGAGGCTAAGTGAATTCAACCCAAGTCAGCTATTCCTTTCCGTGACTTTGCGGTTGGGAATGGCGGTGCTGTTCTTATTCTGCTTATGCAAGATAAAGGTGAGAAGCCTCTCGTTTTTTAATGTTGTGCCATCCATCTGAAGGCAACATAAAACTTATCACCCAGCAGAGCTTAAAGTACTGCATTTTAAAGTCAAACAGACTCATTTCCCAGATGATACAGATTAGGGGTGAACAACCAGAAACAATGGAACAAAACATTATTAATTATTTAAAAAATACCTGTTTGATCTATTATATCTGCTCGGCACTTCCATACAAGCGATGAGGCTTTTCCCTTTTTAATTGGGCATGATGGCTGTATTCCTTGGTTCTGAAGCCTCTACATTTCACAGTTTGTTCATTTGTATGGTACAGTTGGCCTTTGATGACACATTTAAAACTATAAACGGTTAAATGGTTAATTCAGATATTACTCATTAATCCCTGAGGTAATTAACTGTGCCGTATGAACAACCAGTCAATAGTGCTACTGATTTTAAGTTTATGAATCTTGAGTGCTTAATATCTGCTTTATTTCAAGACGGACATCACAGAAAGTAATAACGTCTGATTGATTCGGGGAGCTTGTTCACTGAAGGATTCATCAGACTGATTCCAACCAGTAACTTCTGAGTTCCTAAGTCTTTCTGAATTCATGAAATAAACCAGCTTAGAAAGGGGTGGTCACGTTTCCCATTGTTTGGCTAATTTTTAGTGGGTGAAATCTAGTCGATAGAAATCCACATGATTGGGATTTTTGCGTATGGGCAAAAGTTTTCCCTATGTGGATTTCGCAACAGGCTTAAATTCGTGACTCAGATTCACTGTGTTGACCAACAGATAACTGCTTGGTTTGAAAGTGACTTCTGTGTGAGTTTAGCTGTGCTTCATACTTCACTATTCTATTGCCAATAGGCCTTTTTCGCCTGCAGAATTTTGCTGAAGTTTTACTAATGTTTCTGCAAGAGTGATAGTTGTTTTTGTGACTCACAAGGATATACAAAGATATATTTTCTTGTCATTATTATTATTATTATTTTTTTTTTTAAATCACATTCAGTTCAGGCTGCAAATTTGCAACTTTAATAAAAATATGATTTCTTTTCTCATGGCTGTAAAAAATACAGAGCAGGAAACACAGGCAATAAAAACAATACTGAAAAAATGTAACTGGTTGGTAAAGGTCTACTATTATGTTTTATTTGGTATGTTTCCGACCACTATTACGGATGCTGTACAGTTGAAGTATGACATTTTATATCTGAATAAGTTGGATTTCAACTATTTGATTTGGAAATGTCACAATGTGGAAGTTAAATGAATGATTTTAGGACAGGGGTGTCTAATCCAATCCTAATCAAACACACCTGAACCAGCTAATCAAGGTCTTCAGGATTATCAGAATCTTCCAGGCTGGTGTGTTGGGGCTGGTTGGAGCTAAACCTCCAGGAGCAGGATTGGACACCCCAGTTTTACAGGGAATAATTGTAAGTGGTTAGCAAAGGGTGGTCCGTTTGATTGGTGCTGGTGTTGGTATGTGGTGATGTTTTACTACCTGCTGAAACTCATCCATCTGTTCCTTTGTCTTTCTCTGCCGTTTTCCGTCTTCATATCTTTCCTTCTCTCAGTCCCTGCCAACCATTTTCCCAGCTGTCTGGGTAAATCTGTGTCTGATATCCCAGCAGCCTTTGCAGGTCACCATGTGCATCTGCCTTATTGGCTGTCAGCCAGGTTCAGCTGGTCCATGGCACCAGCTGGTGTTCCTGTGGCAACGTCTGTTGGAAACATGGCACCTTTGGCTGAGGATGAATGGCAACTTTAGCCCACCTACTAAACACTAATTACCAAACTGGCAATGACTTAGGCTTTTGTTCTGATCGCTCATCCAAACGCGATCAGCGTCCTGCGCAAATGCCTTTTGACCAGTCGGTGACTAGGAATATTGATTTCTCATGGCTCCGTGCCTGTGTTTTGGTTTAATGTGTCAGTGTTGCTTGGCTACTGCATAAAGTGAAAGCTGATGTCCGACACCGTGTCTGGTTCATGCATGTGCACAGAAAATTAACTTATTAAATACTTAAGCCTCTGGAAAAAGATAATGTGAACATTTATCAAGAACATTATAGAAATTTAATTGCAGGGAAACCATTAGTTACTGCTCCCGAAGGATTTGTGTTTTCAGCCAGAGTTTTACTATCAGTATGAAGTCTAGTCCACATTGCAGCATGTTCTGGCCAAGAACCACCCACAGGTCCAACTATAGTTATTTATTTTTATTTCATTGTGGAAAAAAAAAAAGAATCCATATAATGTTATGGCAATCTCTATACGGCAGTCTCAGACTGGTGCATGCAAAAATATGTGGTATTTATTTGTTTATTTATTTAAAGGTTAATCAGAATATCTGTCTTCCAAAAGTAAAAATTACTGATTACTTTACAGACATAAATTAAAAAGCAGAATATAGAGTGCTTCAGTGCATTTTTGGTTCCGTCATCCCAAAGTCAATGGGTTGTTTGAATGGATTTTTGGTTAAATGCCTGAAATACGGCCTGTGGTTAACCCAAGCTCAAGATCCTCCTCTTTTTATTCTACAACATAAAATACATGAGTAATACCCTATTTTTTAGATTTTACTTTCTTGGAAAGCCGTTTGCTAACAAGTGGCTAAGTGGGGCTACAGAGGTTTTCAGAAAACAGAAAAATGTACTTGTTTACTTTTACAGCCTTGTGTTTATAATTGTGCTTTTGCCAACTGTTCAAACTCAAACGTTACTATTTATAGATTGGAAGATTTGTCTGAAGCTTAGGTAATTTGATGAAGTCATGCAGCCGTGGTGTAGTTGGTTTAAATCCTACTTTTAGCATTTCTGATGATTGTATTTAGTCTTTCAAGGTCATAAAAGTTATGTACATTTGTGAAGATTATCTTGATGAACAAAGTATGTAAGCATCATAAATGTTTGTTGGTCACAGAGCTTATTTCCTGCAACAATCCAAAAGTCAATGGAGTTTTTGTTGAGGGAACCAAGGTGATGCTATCTTCTGGGTTGGCCTAAAGAAAATATGTTATCACTGCAGCACTCTATGAAGTTCTGCTTGTGAATATTTAGTTTACTTGCTATTTAGAGCCTCGAACAAAACTTTTGGAAGGTGAGGAGTTGGTTTTGTGTACAATATGTGTGCTTTTAACCGAGCTCTGTGCCTGTCACCAGTTTTAGAGATTAGGAATTTAGCTGATGCTTGTACTTAAGCAACTAGCAGTGCACATTTTATTGGGTCATTCCCGTCTTAGAGGAAGGTTAAATGCCTTCCTGAATGACACCGTCGTGATGGTCTATTGATTTGCCCCTTCTGGGACTTGAACTACAATGTTTTTCAGTTACCGGCCTAGATGTTTAACCACTAAGCTACACCATTATCAGTGTCACAGTAACTTGACAACCAGCAAGTGTCACTCAACATATGTAGCATATGTGTGCAGATACTCTCCATTTTTGGTTTTATATTTCACAGTGACAGGCACCCTATATGTGTGAAAATACTGACTCTTCTACTCTGAGTTTCAGCATGCTGGATTTATATCTTAGCCTCAGGCTGAAGATATCCCCGAAGAACCCTGGGAACTCTATCAGCAGTGTTCCTCATCACCCCCATCTTTAATTAATTGTAAAACTGGTCAAAATGTGTAAATACCACATAATCAGGAATTTAGGGCTGTTCCAGAGGTCAGAGTGGAAAGGGGCACATTTGGAAACGATAGTTCACTGACGGGGAAAGATTTGTGTTACACCCCTATGCTAGACGGAAATATTTTGCACATTACAAACAAATTTGACTTATGTGGAGATTAAGGTGGGATCCAAGTGGATTTTTTTTTCACTTCTATGGAATATGCTTTCATAGAATGATGTCATTGATTTTTCTTGCATGTATTGTTGGTATTATAGTAGC